ATTAAAGAAGGATTAAAAAGTTTAATTATTGTATTAATGATGCGAACGTCTTTATACGTTTCATTGATGGAACAGCCACTGATCTGTACAGGCGACATGCCTAATGTAGTACATGCAGTGATTAACGCAATGGGTTTTCTTAAGAAATAAAGGAGAAAATATTCAGTGGATGTAAATATATTATGATTAAATATATTTTAGCCAGGAGGGAGGAAGTTGTTAAGCAAACGTGTAGGTAATTCTCTTGGTATTATTGTGTTCAATAACTACAGATGTAGTTAACAATTATAGTAAATCGAGAAGATAAGTAAAAAAAAAAGAAATTAATAAAACGGTTAAAATTAAAGAAAAAAAAGGGAGTTGGTTTATTTAATTAATTTTATATTATTTTATTGTAGATACAGTTGTCTTTAGCTATTGAATTCTTTTAAAATACTATTTTCGCAGTTTTTTTAACTATACATATTCTTAAGATATTTCCAAAGTAAGATTAGTTTTGAAATCACTTATTTCGAATGATTTATTTCATCGCATTCTACTATATTTGAGAATTCGTGTCTGATTTGTTATGATTAAAAACATTTACCTAGCTATTCAGTGAATATTCTATCCGCTTATTTCTACTCCATAATATGTAGCATTATTATAACTTCACAAAAACAGTGTTACAATGATATAGATAGGTATTAAGTTCAAATTTACATAATTTATATTCTTATATTTTTTTGTGGCAGAGAAGATAATAATTTATTAAAAATATGCTTGAATGGAGTGTCTTACCGCATCGATCAGATCCATTTTCAACCTGAAAAAGAGTTGTATATACAGTGACACTCAACATCCTAAGTTTAGAGGGATTTATAGAGTAAAAACCCAAATTATTGTCAAACGTTTTATTAAACATGCGATTTTTCATTTCTGTTTAAAAGAATCAAAATCCAATTTCGGTAGTGTAAAAAAAATTCATTAAACCGTAAAATAACTGATTTGGCAAAGTTGAAATCTGTTGGTAGCGTACATTTCCAAAGTATATAACTATCACAGTGTAGGAAATAGATCTTTTTTTTTATCAGTAAGTAGAAATCAATATAATTCTTTTTTTAAATGCTTATTTCTAATCATAATTTTGTTTGTTTACGGAAAATGTTCTCACAAAGTCCAAACTCATTTCTCTATATTGCAATGTTTGACCTGCCATAGAAAGTAGGTGACTAAGTGTTGTTAAAATCTAATAAGCATCTTTCTAAATCAAAACATTTTTTCATGAAATGTACGTTACTTTTTAGTCTTTTGTTCTATGATTGCAAAGACATTGACGTCGCGTACGGTGTTGGTTTCAAAAATTACTATTGCGGTGGCATTTGCGCTATTTTCATTATGTTAAAACAATTCACTATATATATCGTTCTGTCGGTAATTGTATACTAAATACATTTTAACAAAAATATTGATCAAAAAATTCCATTTATCAATTATACTAATTCAACTATTCAGTCAGTTACTTCAAAAATACATGTGGACCGGTAAATGTAACAGGAGCCTAGCACACGCAATGACAAAATGTTGATAAGTTCCATAAAACAAACAATACAAACAAGAAATTTAGCAGAAAAGTTCAAAATATGTTGTAAATGATGTAAATTCTTACAATTGTGATGTTCAATCCGAATGCCGTGAACGCGTTGTTCAAAATGCGAGAGAGAGAGATGTAGATAAGCGTCATCCGAAGAAATATGGAAGGAACATGACACGTCATCGGTAACTTAGAAAAATATTTTCATGAGCTAAATCAATTTGAAATTGCATCTCAATGATTCTTTTTGTGCGCAAGGAACTATATTTTAAATTAGACTGATATTTTGTGTCGGTATGTATGTTGGATTTCTGATTTTAAGCCGATTTATTGTGAGGATATTGAATAAGATTGTGTGTCACATAGTTTGGAAGTTTAATGTTACAAAGTTTTTAAGATTCGTAAAATGTCAAATTTTGTACTGCTGGGTGAAAAATTAATGATGAAAATTATTTTAAATTCTACAAAATGTTTCCATATTATTAGGGAAAATATCTCTGGACAGAATTTTAATTTAATTTTAAGTTTCTTAGCGTCTTAAATTTTAATAATAATTACCGTGTTTCGTATAAGTACTACATGTAGCTATATGTCACAATTAAATTTGACGACATTAACGTCACATTAAATGCTACACTCCAATAATTACTTTCATTTTTTTAAAAATTTATTTTTCTAATCTGGCACCAAACAAAATTTCATACAAAATGTGCAAAATTAAAACTTTATTTACATATGAAAATGAATTGATTCCATATAAAAGTGTTTGTTTTATAGGTTTTTCACAATGTCAACAATAAATGCCACACATTGTCCAAAAGTTATAAATCTAGCTATGTATAAATTTGGTGAAATAAATCATATGTGTAGTCATTAAAAATAGACATATTGAAAATTACAGGATTTTTATGAAATGTGCATCTCTTCAAAAAGTTGTTTGTATATTCCAAAATAATTTCAATAGAATGGTGACAAAATCCAAACAAAAAATAAATTTCAGCATGTTATGTCACAAACGTTAAAAATACTTGGCGTTTTGACGTTATTACGTTCACTTGCATAAAAAAAATAATTTAAGGCGTCAAAAGATTTTCTAAAACTTATTCTTAAGGCTGATTTGGATAAACAAAATCATACCAATAATGATTAATTTTAAGAACAATTTGACATCTGATATACACTGCATTAGTAAACATCCCTGTCAGGATCTGTTCAAAAGACTCATCACCCATAATTTGAATTTTAAAAAAATCGAGAAAAATGTCACAATCCAAAATTTATAAAATTTAGGATATGCTTTCAAATTTGAATTCCCTGACAACAAAGTGTCTCAACTTTATATTTGATGTTGACAAAGCTTTCAAAACGGGCAGTTTACATTCGGTAGTCCATGCAGTATTGAGCGGGGGGTGGGGGGGGGGGGGGGGGGGGGGTGTTGGAGGGTGTGATTTACATTAAGTATCAGATTTCTTTAGTAGCATATTTATAATTTCATTTTGTCATTAACCCGATAGCATCGTTTAAAATACTTCATCATGCTCGGCACACTTCGGCCGATTCATACATGTACCTCATCTAATTTGACATACATCTGATATAGTTTGAACACAGGAATCACCCAAGGTTTGCCGAATGGACCTCATAATAAGTTAAACAAGATATGAGTATCAATACACCCCTCCCCCCCCCCCCCCCCCCAACTCTAAAAAAAGAAAAGACATACATCAATATTTTGACATTTTTATTATGACGTGTAATGATATATATTTTCTATTTTTGTTAAATAAAACAACTTTTTAAGAAATACAAAACTTCGAAACTGCACCACATTGAAAATCCTTTTCAATGACAACTTTAAATGAGGGAAGGGGCGGGTTAATTCTCAGGTTCGTTTCCTATCTTTTTTTTTTTAACTGAATTATTTGAAATAGTTAGATCTACAACCAAAAAATACTCAGTATTAAAGGGCCTGTGTGAGGGTAGGGGTTGAAGATGGGTTGGGAATATGGACTTTGAATTAAAAATATAATTCAGTGCTGTATAAGCAACATATATACAATCACAAAATGTACTGAAAACAAAGAACAGGTTCTAGGACCTACTGATATAATATGGAATTGTTTTGAATTTATCACAATTAAGGTCAGACGACACATTCCTCAAATAAATGTTTTGTATATCTTGGTATTATATAAAATTATTCATATTTGTCATTCTCCTCTGATTTCTACATTGTTTTCAAAATGTTCATAAATATAAGTACACCAAAAATTGTGATATAGGCCATTCAGAAGATTACCCATAGGGGTCATATAAGAAATATGACCCTGTGGTATCTTGTCCAAATGCCTAGTAAGGTACCCTAATTTTTTGTGAGGAAACATGTATAGGTACCTAAACTTCAATAACAAATTCTTAGAAAATATTATATATTTTTGAGGAATGTTTCGTCTGACCTTAAATAAAACAAAGCATGTAAATTTAAAATGCGATGTCGAACAAGTTTTGTTATTTCTACGAAGTTTTTTTTTAAATGAGGCAAATCATGCTTATATTTTCCTCCCGCAATATGCATGCAAAAGGGCAAATAATTTAATTATACATGTGTTTTCAATGAACTGCAATATATATAATAGGAGGTATTACTGGGTTTTTATTTTTCCTTCATAAAAAGTGCTAGCAGAAGAGTAACGTCAGATTAATTTTCTAAACCTTCGCATAAAATTACGTCATTTTGACGATACCGAAACTGACACCAACACCGTGCACAACGTCACTGCATTTTGTTGGGCAAAATCTATATTCTTTTAATAAAAATTTACATATTTTCAATGTTTATTGTATAATATTTTTCTAGTGTAGCATACATGAATTATTTGTGGTGTGCAAAACATGCAGTATTTTTGGACAAAGTGCAAATGATACCACTATCACTAACAATAAATCTTATCCCGAGTATTCCATGGTTTTTAAATACAAAGTGGTCTTACTATACCTTGTTTTAATTTGATATTTATATTCTTAAATTTTGTGTAAAGCTACTGAAAAGCAAGCAATGCACCCAACTGGTAACACAATATTTTTCAAAGGTAAAATTTATGATAAAATTTCATAATTTAAAGAGAAAGTACTTGTAATGGTTGAATTATTGATAATTCTATAAAAATCTTTTTTTTTTCCCTTATAATCCATTTTATGAATGATGGCACTGGGTCTTTGTATCCTTTATTTACTTAGTTTGGGTGTTGTTCAGTTTTAAAAAAAGTATATAAATGTATATTATCTAGAGAGATAATTATTAGATAAAATTGTAATGGTTACAATTTATTTGACCAATTTGACTTAACTAATTAACCATTGCCAATCCCTAGATTGTATACATTTTTATTATATTTATGCTTCGAAAAAAAAAATCAGATGAAAATATTTAACGACATACCCAAGGCAACACAGCTTCTTTTATTCCAAATGCTGTTGGTACGCTGCAAAAGATGAGAATTTACACACATTGTATATAAAAAAAAGTTTGAATCCTTATTTTACAATTAAAGAGATAGAAACTTATACTTTGATTTAATAATGGAAGTCTCAAATGTATATCCGGCAGCATCTAATTTCAACAAAGAGTTCAAGGTCATCCATTCACCGTTTCCTTCCCTGGTAATAATCAAATTCTCTGTATTCTTGGATCCTAAAGAGTAAATATTATCAAATAAATATTTAAATTCATTTCACATGTTTATTGCTAAAATTGGTATCATTGATTTTCAAGTACGATAACTGTAAGCATGATGACCTTGATAAACTATTGGCAAACTGATTTCAACGGGGCGACCGGTGGACTTTGTGATATATACATGAATAAATGGACAAATCTGTCTCTCGGGCAAGTCCATCTGAAAATAATGGCTTTATTTAGTTTTCATACATCATACAAGTGTAAGTATAAATTTAAAATTGATAGTGATTAATGAATGTCCCTGGCATACCCAGCAAATTTGACAGTGATTTCTTACATTTACATTTGATTGTGAAATAAAATTGTAATAAATATAGTTTAAAGAATCTGCTCTAATTGATCTAAATTACTCGAAGCCGCCTATGTCAATCTCAATAGTCCTCGCATAATGTCAAGGCCTCCTTTACTCCCGCCCTTTCGCTTGAACTTACCCTTCAGGGTAATGATTTGATCGAATTTGGATGTAGTGACACGGAAATTGTGCTTGTTGATTTAATTTTTATGTTATTCCTGCTCTGTTCAGTTGTATATCCGGGAAGAACCCACGTTTATTTTTGTATGCGCACTAGTACATTGTATTTCCCCATTTTTATGCTGTTCACAGACCCCCAGAGTAAGAATGTTAATGCAAAATGTCAATTCTATAATAATTATTGTATACGCTAAGTCTTAAAATTTGGCGTCACTTTATTTTTGCATATTATATTTGTTATAAACCATAAACAGGATAAATTGCATAAACTAATTTGGTGGCTTTTTATGAATTATCTGTCAAATTTATAGAATAATCAGTAAACTAAAGACGAATACATATATTTTTATGTTCCTCTGTTATTAATGCAAGACCGAAGCCAAGTCAACTGAGCTAGTAATAAAATAACAACAGTAGTGAAAGTGAAAAAATGTCTTATTGAAGTAAGTGACGCAAAACAAAAATATAAACATATTATAAGGGGGTCAGACAAGACTAGAAAAAACTTCGAAAGAATACAAAAATCTTTGGTATAACATTATGCAATCTGACCCCCTAAAATTAAGTATAGCATAATATATTTTGTTTTTGTAACATCTTACACTCAGGACAAAGGAGGCCAATAAACATCTGTAATCGTTATTGAAGAAAGTTTGTGCACATTGGATTTATAAAGGCCCTTTCACAATTGGCGCACGAGCACTTTACAAGACTTTGCGATCGGAAAATTTTAGCTACGCACGAGCTATCGCATACGTTGCACGATGTCTCGCATTCATTGCATGTGTTTTAGTGGTCGCATCAAGTCTCCTCAAAATAGTCAACATGCCCACTATTCAGACGCGACCAAATGCGATCAAAATTATCGCAATTCAACGCACGAAAATTAGTACGAACGTCTTACAACGTTTTATGTACTCGTAAGAGTGATGCACGATTTTTTAAGATCGTAAGATGAATCCAGCTGTCTTTGCGTGTGTTTTGCGACCATGAGACTGTTGCTCAACATGTCTCATGAAATCTTGCAACGTTTTACTATCATTGCTTGATTTATCACCTTCAATTGCCATGCTTTGCAACAGGCATATATACCGTGTATAATTATAAGCATCTTAACTATGTCAACTGAAGAGCGTCGGAAACGGGTGGTATATATACCCGGCCCTCTGACTTGCACGAACATATTCGTACTATGGAATGCATGAGCGCACGAGCACCGCACGTCCAATTGTTTTGTCGCACGTTCAATCGTCCGATTACCTGATCAGTCGTGCAATCCTATCACATTATCTTACAACACTCGCTTTCATTCTACAACAGTCGCATATAGACGCAAGATATATCGCAAGATTTAATGCACAACAGTCGCTTTAGATCGTGCAAATTTCGTACGAACACTTTTTTCATATGCGATTATTTTGGCAACAGTTTACGATCCTAACCAAAATTATTCGGTCGCACGAATATTTTGTCGCTTCTGCTCGTGCGCCAATTGTGAAAGGGCCTTAAAGGCGAGACATCGTGCAACGTATGCGATAGCTCGTGCGAAGCTTAAATTTTCCGATCGCAAAGTCTTGTAAAGTGCTCGTGCGCCAATTGTGAAAGGGCCTTTAGGAAGATATTTAAATATGTCATCAAAATCTTCAATATTTTTTTTAATTATCGCCTCTTGAAGGGGAACCGGGTATTATTTGATCAAACTAAAATCCCCTTCATCTAGGGGTGCTTGAAAATAAGATAGAACCCCATGGTTCTGGAGAACTAGTCGAAAATGTGATGAAATGTTAACAAACGGCGATGGATGGATGTGATCCTGAAAGATCATTTGAAAACGGTACTGACGGATGGCGGGCAATGCTTGCCTGAAAGTTTACATTTTATGCATGGGTGACGTACACGTTCATTAAGTGAACCATTCATGTAGAGCAAGACTATGTCATAATTTTATTGAAAAGGTCAACTTACCATTAAATAGAGCTCACAATTATCATCGACACAGTCTGGTGGAAATGACATACGTATTCTTTTGTCCGCCTGCATATAGATTGAACAACTTTCTTTTCTTATCTGATGTATTTCTATGTCCGGGAAATATGACAAGGCTTGTTCTTTGACAATTGTATTCCCCTGTCTTCCTGTCACAAAGCAGTGTGTTGGAAGTTTCGGAAGAACGCATGATAATTTTTCATTTCTCTAGAAAGAGTATATTGGAAAGGAAAAATGAAATATATTATCAATAACTATATTCTTTAGACAAGCCAATGCCAAAATACAGCATTCAAGGTTAGGAAATATTACTTAGCATTTGGAAATATGTTTATACATTATATAAATGATGCCTATCTATGAAGGTAACAATTGAATTTCAACTTGTACCCTCCAAAACAGGCGCACATTATAAATTCTATTTTACTGAGTGTATGATTGGTTTAGGATGTCAGCTAAGATAAAATTGTTGATCGTCTTTACGTACACATTTTAAAAAGTTTTCAAACTCCCTGCTCCTATTTTTTTCAATAAGAAATCTTTGAAAATGATTTACCGACTTTCTAATAATTTTTTTTATACTCAAAAAGTCCTTTATCGTCTAAAGCTTTGTTATTTTTTGCACTTGAGCTCGCAAGCTTGTTTTGTCTCTCGCTTGTTCCCAAATAAGCTACATCGAACGCCAGCTTTACTGACGTCAAGTTTATGCGGCTTCAAACGCACAACTGACGTTTTGAGAAGTATGCGCATGATTTGCAAGCACGTAGCATTTTATAATGTTACCCGTTGTCGAGCGTGTTGCTAAAGCTGTGAGTAACATTTTGGATCGTTAAATGCGTCTGAACCAATCAGGTTTTAGTACTTAACATGAAAGTATAATGAAAACCAGAAGTCTCTGTCGAGACTGTAGCTTACTGGTTTGTACTTATAATAAGGGAAGAGAGAGTAGCAGTTGGGACGTAAAACTTTACAAAAGCAATAAATAGAATAATGATCCTCTTTTTGCTTCAAGAATGCAATAAGACTACAACTGGAGGAGTAGCTTTTAATAAAATTTTACAGAATTTTTAATCTAAATTACTATGGCAACATCAATCATCAAAAAAACAAAACAAAACGCAAAACTGATAATTATGTATCTCAGTGTAGTCTAACCGCATGCCAAATTATATTATTATCAGATTAAAACTGTATTTGAAGTAGCATTTAAAGTAGTCTACTTGTGTACCATGTTATACTGAAATCAGACCAAAACTGTAGGAGGAGTAGCATTTTGAATGTTTTTTACAGAAATTCCTATTTTTACTTACCACAGCAAAGCCGTTCATCAAAATAAAAAACCGATACATAGAATTATGTAACTCAGTGTAGTCTACTTGTGTGCAAAGTTATATTGCAATCATACCAAAACTGCAGGAGGAGTAGCATTTTGAATGTTTTTCACAGAAATTTCTATTTTTAGTAACCGCAGCAACACCGTTCATCAAAATCAAAAACCGCTATATATAATTATTTATCTTAATGTAGTCTTCTTGTATGCCAAATTGTACTGAAATCTGACCAAAACTGTACGAGGAGTAGCATTTTGAATGTTTTTAAAAGAAATTTCTATTTTAAGTAACCACGGCAACACCGTTCAGTCGAAATCAAAAACCGATACACAGAATTATGTAACTCAGTATAGTCTACTTGTGTGCAAAGTTATACTGAAATCAGACCAAAACTGTAGGAGTAGTAGCATTTTCAAAAAAATTGTTTACAGACAGACAGACGGACGGACGACGGACGCATTACTATCGCATAAATTCTTCTGGTCTCTGACCAGGAGAGCTACATTGTAAAAATAAGACATACCGGTCGAAGAGCATATCTATACCACGACTGCCTATCGTCAAAACTACAGATAAGATAATCTTTATCTGTTATGAACTCGTCTTCAAACTGCACAATCGTCTTGCTCTACAAAATAGACAAAACATTCCAGGCAACCTTTCTACTTGAAAAGACAAAAATAATGAGTGTACAGATCTGCAAATCTTTAGCTCGCTGATCTGAACACATTAGGATGAACGTCTTTTAATATATTTTATCTGTTAATACAATTTTCTCGGAGAGCTACAGTTTTGCAGTTTAATTGTACAATATTTAAATATTTTTTTTACTTGTTAAAATGAACATAAGTATAAAATAGTCCTATGAATAATCCTTTAAATATTATGAAAGTAGTCGTAGAAGAGAAGTTCATTCCTGTCAACGTTCTTCATACAGAAGTGACTGTCCTAAAAGTGATGCTTTGATAATTCAAGTGTGAATAACTGAATAGACTGAATTCATTTAATAAACATTTTAATATCAATTCTCTATAAAAATCAAAATTTTCAATAGGGGCGTGGACATGACACCTGTCTCCGGTTTAGCTGAATTTCACACCATTTACTACAATTGGCGTATCTTTAATAAATATGATGTTTTAAAGTCTAACTTTTCAATTTGGTTGCCATGGTAACAAGGATGTTATATTTAGAACCCTCCGATTAAGCAAATTTTGCTCTGTTTTAAATTAAATTAGTGCACATTCAATAAATTAGTGTAAATTCACATGAAAATTATATTCTCTGAGCTCATATTACTTAAATCTCAGAAATAAATTTCATTCAAGATATTTGAATGGATATTAAGCAAATTTTCATAGCAGCATTTAGGATGTTAGCAAATTGGCAATTTGCCAAATTTGTCTTTTTTAGTCATATTCATTGAAATTTTTCACCATTTTGACAACTGATATATTTGTAACCATGTTTCATTAAATAAACTATATATTCTAAGGTTTTACGAGAATAAAAAAAAATTATTGGGTAAATCAAAAACTTTCTAGAAATTATTGCATTGAAAATTGGCGATTTGCCAAAATTGACTTTTTTAGTCATATTCAATGAAATTTTTTACCATTTTGACAACTGATGTATTTATAACCATGTATCATTAAATAAAATGTATATATTCTAAGGTTTTATGAGAATAAAAAAAATTAATGGGTAAATCAAAAACTTTCTAGAAATTACTGCATGAAAATTGGCGATTTGCCAAAATTGACTTCTTAAAGTCATATTCAATGAAATTTTTCACCATTTTGACAACTGATATATTTGTAACCATGTATCATTAAATAAACTATATTCTAAGGTTTTATGAGAATAAAAAAAAATTATGGGTAAATCAAAAACTTTCTAGAAATTATTGCATGAAAATTGGCAATTTGCCAAAATTGACTTTTTTTAGTCATATTCAATGAAATTTTTCACCATTTTGACAACTGATATATTTGTAACCATGTATCATTAAATAAACTATATATTCTAATGTTTTATGAGAATAAAAAAAAATCATAGGTAAATGTATAGCTTTCTAGAAATTATATGACACCCCCCCTTCATTAATCACAAATAACAGAGAGGATCATCTAAGAACATGTTTTACCAAATTGAACAAATTGTTATGTTATATGAATATACGTCAAGTATTTAAATTTCTTTTTAATAATTAAATAGAACTTCTGCAATTAACTAAGAGACAGGTAAATTAATATGTTGCCATGGAAAAAAACTAGGCTTCTAGTTACTTTATTCTAAATATGAAATAAAACAAGTGAGTTTCCAACAATTCTTAAAAATCTTTTGTTGGCCTGTAATTGTTTCAAATCCCTATGATTTATTCACTAAAATATGTTCAAATTCAAAACAATTGTTTATTTTTTTAAGGGGGCTCTCTACACCTATAAAGTATAACTGATTTTTGTTGCATGCATTTGTTTCTAATAATAGGCCCCATATCCGATAAAATAAGGTTCCAAAGTACTTCCATTTATTTTTTAGAAATATTTGAAATATTTTATTTATTTTGTTAAAATCTCTCCTATATATATTTTTAAAAGCCCAGTGCTTATAATTTCTTTTCAAAGTTTAGTGTTATAAAATATTGAAATAATAACCAACAAAGATAAAAATAAAATCAACATAATTTTTATTGAAATTTACAAAAATAGACAAAAGAAAAACTAAAACAGCATTTCCTTGAAAATAGCTGGTTGGATCCTCTTCAGTATCTGAAAAGATATATAATATCAAAGGGTAAAAACAATGAAAAAAGAAATTGAAAAAAATTGAAAAACTGTCAAAAATTTATAAACATCACAAAAATTCAGGTGTGAGAGATCCGCCTTAGGAGTGGACTCAAATATCTTGGTACTGTTTTTTTTATATAAACTTCAAATAAACTCTACTTGCACAAGTATTAAACAAATGTCACGCAAGGACATTGAAAGAAGTTCGTATTGTACATGTATTGTTTTTCAATGAGTTTAAGCGAAAATCATCCCGTTTCCAGTCAATGACAAAGACATGTATTTAGTGAATTCATGGTATTGAGAAGGTAGATTTACTTACCGTTTTTATCCAACTTGCATGTGTTATTCAGTGCTATATACAATAAAACAAGTTAAGATGGTAAATGGCCAAAAGCGGTAAAAGAAATTCCTATAACCAAATGCACACTTCGTCTAAAACCTGCACGTTTCCCATACTTGTAAACAGCTGACAATCAATGGTGATCAAACGTTTGGGTCATGCGAAATTTCACCGGGTATAACCATTCATTCGGGTGTATACAAATCGAGAACAGAGTATCCTCTAGTCGATGGGAAGATAATACATATGACTCTTATCTTATCAATTTGCATTTTTGGGGGTTGTATTTTGCTGAAAAGCATATATGCTTATTGGAGAAATAAAATTTCTGAGTGTATGGCGTTTTGACACGTAATGATGAATTAGCATATGGACAAGCCATGTTTTATATAATTTTTTTCTCATCTAAAAATCTTATTCTATTAAGTTTGTAAATGTATTATTTAATAATTAAATAAGTAGAAATTGAATAAATTGACAAACAATTCATTTTTAAAGAAAGTATACGTATTGGGCATACACTGTATTAATTGATGTGATATAATGTACATTCCATCCACAGTATCGCATGTTGTGTTATACTCAGTGATTTATCGGTGTTGAGTGAATTTGAATCTGATCATTTGGGATCAAAATGGCGTTTTTACGGAAGTACGCCATGTTGTGACGTTGTAGAGAGCCCCCTTAAATGTATAATTTAAGTAAAAAGGCAAACTCATATTTATAAATGATATGACAGTATCTAATGAAAATATGAAAGTAAGTCAGACAATATAATGTCAAAACAAGTTAGCAAGACCATCTTGATTATAATGTTTTTTTTGCCCTCTCCCAACTCATGGTAAAATAATTAATTCGGTGGGTAGGTTGAAAAATATTTTTCCCAGAAAATTTCAAAATATTTGTTGATGAGATAAGATGGATAAAAAGAAAAAAAAACATCTTGTCTTGCAATGTAAAAAAAAAGTTTTGAATTTTAGTCAGTCTGTTGGGAGGAAGGCAAACAATTTTTTTTTAAATGGCCTTATATGTGGAATTAATTCTTATTATCACATTGCTTATCAGCATATTCAGATGATCAGTTAACCTTAACTATTATGTTCTTTTAATGGGTATAAATATTTTTAACCATTTGACCTTGACCTTAGACATTGACTGACTTAAAAAAAAAAATTTAACCTTAACCACAACTTTTGAAGTTGGACTAGATTTTCATATTTCACAGGTGTTTTCCTTGTGACAAGACCTTTCTTGGGATACCTCGTGGGAGTCATGGCATAAGCTGCCATGTATGGGGGAATCAGTGTTTCACAATTAATCTTGTACTCAGATTTGTTAAAATGTATTCATATTCTAATCATACATGACATACTGTGTGAAGCCTGCCAGTATAAAACTATGAATTTGTGAGCCCATGTGGGGGTATATAATAAATCAGTATACCATCTCTCCTGCAGAATTGGGATATAAAAAGGGAAGAAACTGCTTCTTTTCATAATACTGCTTTTATAGAAAAGAAATAAACATGACATTGGAATGTATGCTCCACTTAAACAGTGACATTTTTTTGAAAATACAAGAAATCAGTTTAGAATCAATTTAGAATACACATATTCTCTAAGGAAAACAGATGATCTGCTTAAAAAAAAATTCCGCTAAAATTTGTTCCTTCATATTCTCTCATTTGATGTCAGCTTCGTTTCCTCGAATTACATCAAATTTCTTTATGTCCTTTTGTATAAGTTTGAAAAGTAGCTCAGCCTTGCAATTTGCTGTGGATTTTAGTAATGATCTTTAGAAAACCCTCTCTATATCCATCTTGCACCAGCGATCTTCTTTTCTTTCTGTTCTTATTCCTACTTTCTATTTTTCATGTAAAAATTACTTCCTGTCCACTGTGACTTTTTTTTAGGGGGGGGGGGGGCTGTGTGTCCTCTGCTCTGGTCATTTCTATCTGTTCACATGAAAATAAAAAAAAAAATACCATTAATTTTTGGTCAGCTTGGATAAAAATTAATTAAAAATTATTTTAAAAACTTAAAACTAGAATCTTAAAATTTCGCTATATATATAACATATACATTTTCAACCTCTAAACGTTATCATCTCCCTTGATGCATTGTCATGGCAATCACCATGAATACATGTAACTTAATAAACAATACATGTACCTGTCTGGTCCCCTTGCTAAAGGATCTGTAATCCTGAGAATCTTCATTAGGAAAATCTTGCAACGGCTGCAATGATCTGTGAATTAAAATTATTTTTTAATTTGAAAGTTTGAGTTAAAATCCTAAACATCAAATATATATTACATGTACCTGATATTTAAATGTTATCCTGAAAATTTTCTGAATCATGAGGAATGATTGATAAAGGAGGGGAATCAATGTTGTCATCAAGCATTTTTTTTTCAATTTACACAGTTAAAGCTTTTCTCGGTTTGAACAAATTGCCGGAGATCTAGAGTAGAAATGAATTTGACAACAATTAATTTTTAAAGTGGTAAATGAAATGTTATTATATCTTGAATTAATTGTAATAAAAACATACGTGTTTTATTGATACTACATGTAATGTGGTATAGTTCATTTTGTTCTTTAATGTGACTATTTTTAATTTGTACAATATGTCCTTGACATGTAAAGTACACAGCATCAGAATGATCTCATATGTACAGATCAATATTGTAAAACTAAAACTATTCATAAATGTGTGCAAGATTGATATGCCTGCAATATATAGCTGAAAAACAGTGATCAGTAAAATAAAATTATGAGACAGAAAGCTGCATCTTAGAAAAGTCAATAAAGAGTGCTTCATGACAATTAACTAATTTATAGGAACTCCCAAGTACAAATGAAATGGATTTGTCACATTCTAACACCCTTGGATAGATTTCTTTACCTACTTTACAATGCATTACCTTGCAAAGCAAATAACTTAATTGTATCAAGGTCCCAAAAATGATTTCACATAGTATGACAAAGTATATGTACTTAGATCTAGAACACTATTAGCAGCTGTAAATCTGTGTGTTTGCATGTACTGAGTTAATTTTCATAATTTTACATTTACACTTTTTTATCAATTCTTTCAAATATTCTACGGTCCTGATATTGGTTAAAATTTCAAAAACTCTAACGCACTATTCAGTTATCATTGTCAAAAGACAAAGGTTTAATATTTTCGTGGTTTGATTACTACAAATCCTGTTTGTTAAAATAGAATGGACACAAACATATTATCACTTGGAATCATAAATTTATTCAAACAATTTTCTTCAAATATACTGAATTTTATAGAAAATAAAATACCGGTACCCAAAATGGGCACATATATTACACAGTAGTATATGATTCAGTGTCATGTACATGTAATATGTGCAACTGTGCATCCAAGTTTTCATGGTTTTGTTTGTTTTTACTGTCTTATATTTCAATATACAGTCAGTTACCAGGTACATGAGACAACTGAATAGAATTATAAATAAAAAAAATACTTACACATTGCAATGGGGATTGGTCGGGGACTACCACACCACTAGTGCTATGTATCTTCTCGATCTCTATTTCAAAGACATCTTGAAGGGAACAGTTAAAATCTTCTCGGCCTTCACCCCATACCACCCTGATTTCCTCATATTTTCCTTTCTATGAGTAGCTATACGTGTAATACTCATCATGTCCAGATCAACCCTTTGGCTTTTCTTAAAGATTATCCCTACTTTGTTAACTGTTTTTCATCAAATTCTGAGTCTCTTGAGGTAGAATTTTCCTGAACAAGATGTTTCAAAACAAGAAGAAAAAATGCAGATTTTATTGTCTTCTTGTTTACATTTTACACATTTTGCCGAAGAGCTCCAACAAGGGAAATGACTCGGATAGAGGAAAAGCACATTTAGATCAACTTTATAGTGTAATAAAATGTTTATTTTTCATTTACCAATAAATGTTTTAAATGATATTTGCAAAATAACATTTCTTGAATCTAAATCTCCCTACTAGGATTTTCACATCACTTGTCAAAGTCTTTAAATATTAAGTCTAACAAGGGAGGTAACGAGGACTAATTATTCACTTTTTTGGCATCAGAAAATTAGAAATTGAAAAAACTTTGTGACATACACAATTTTTTCCATAGTTTTGATGGTCATGAAGCATATAAAAAAATATGCACCTTAACAGCTATGCCTAGTAAATTTTTTTTTGATATTATTGATAAATAGCAATATTCACTGTAATTTACACCTTTTAGCCCCGTTTCCATGGCAACCGGGTAAACTACCATGCTTTCTTTCATATAGTCAATCTTTTCATTCATTGAAGTTTCAGTAAGAAAAAAATTAGCTGAATCCAAGACATCGCGTGGCCACGTCATTTTGATATTTAGGTAGAATTAATATTATAAGACATCAATCTTGATAAAATTTCTTTCAATAAAGACTTGTAATTATAAATGTTGCAAGAAATATATATTTTCTAAATCAAACATCGAAATACAAAATTGATTGAGTCTCTTTTTGTGGCAAGATTGCAATAAGAGTTCAACTGCAGGATTAGCATTGGATAAAATTTTACAGAATTTTCGATTTTAGTTACCTTGGCAACATCATTCATCAAAATAAAAAGAAACAAGAAAGACATTATGTACATGTATCTCAGCATAGTCTACTTGCATGCCACATTATACACTGTACATGTACTTTAATCAGAAAGATATGTAATACTATAATCCAAAACTGTATTTTAAGAAGCATTTTGAACGTATTTCACAGAAAATAGTATATTTATATTATTAAGAGTGATAATATCAAAACGTATTAAACTTTATCAAGGCATGGAACTGTCTATTACGTAACCTTTTTCTTCTTAAAGCATTATATGGCGTATCTGAGCTGAAAAGAATATAAAAGTACGAGGTGAAGTGTAGATTTGCATATTTGCTATTTACGTTCAAAATTTTTTTTACCGATTTTGAACTTAAATATCCCAGGGTTCTATAGAAAGATCACAATATTCTGAGGTTTTATCGTCAAAAAAATCCGGAAAAGAAACCCCCACCAGGATGGCAACGTGTTTTTTTTCGGGGGGGGGGAGCCACCTAAACAAATAGATCTGGGTTTGTTCAGAAAAATTTCGCAACTAATTCAGTATCCGGAGTGTTGTGCTATTTATTCAGGTTAATAAATCCAATCTGCTTGACGACTACCGGCCTTGCATGACCCTCTTTCCACCTTGACAGCTCATCCTTGACTCCATGCCACTAAACCGGAAGTGAATCCCGCAGTATATATGGCAAAAAAAGAGACTTGGCTCCTTTATTACGGACAGATGACAAAAACTTGCTATATCGAAAACCAAATTTTAAGCTTTTCATTTTTTAAAAGACGATTTTATAGGAAACTGCTTTAAAATCCGAATGTAAAATGACTGAATATTTTTCATACATTATAAAAAAAAATATACGACACAGATATTTGAGGAACGTATCGTCTGACCTTAATACTGAGGAACGGAAGCCATTTATCTGATAGAGCGGAAAAATTCAAAAGAAACTGTGAAAATTCAAAGTACTACAAATACTACATATACCTTTGTGATGTCATTAACTTTCATCTAAAATGAAAAAAATGCATTACAGGTAAGTGAAACAACTCTCAATTTAACAATATTGAGTAACAAAAATGGAAAGTCAAATGTGATTATGGAAAGGCAAGAGCGTCAATTTTTATTTAACACTTGTAAAACCTGATGTAGCATACAAAAAACAACCTGAAATGGTCGATTTATTTTGAATCTTTAATTCGTAGATCCTGGTCTTAGCAGACTCGAGGAGTTCCTTTATCTCAAAAGGCAGAGGGTAAAAACGGTGTGCTACGACTAGAACACTGTACTTCAGGTGCCTCAGATAGACAGGCATCAGGAAAGTAGATTGTGAGTCGAGGAGTTTTTAAAAAGGCGCAGAAAAATCTGCAAAACAAATGAATTTTTGGTTAGTACCAAGAATTAGAAACAACTATATACATGTAATGACGTTTGTCGTCTACGGATAGAAGATTAATCAGATTAAGAGTTCGACTGTTTAAAGTTCTATTCGAGTATTTTTCATTCATAATCCATCCATTTTATCGGCACTTTAGGTCATTGAACAGTACTGGTGAGGGACTTTTATCTTACCAATGGTTGACGTGACATTGAACCTAGGTTTGTAAGATTTCATTCGAAGGACTCGCATCCTTCATTTTAAAATGCCGAGCTCCTAGCGAGGGAAAAGTGGCTACCATTTATATTAGATCAGTCGCGGCCGAGACTCCAACTCAGGGAGCGAGCTACTAAACTGATTGAACAGCCGTTAAGGCTATGATTAGGATAAGATACAGTTATAATTTGGACTTTCTCAATTGTTCACACCACATGCGTTTATATCATACATAGTGTCATCATTTCTTAAGTTCTATGGTCGAAACAATGACCTTGTCAGCAAATACAATTAATAATGGAGTCAAATGCTATGAGCGTTTTCATACTAATTGTTAGTCCATTTTTTAAACACTGAATTGACAACAGATTTTCCGTCATTTCTGTCGATTATAACAAGGAGAACACGGCGGGTATAACCAGTGGCAGGGGATGCTTACCCCTTCTTAGCACCTGATCCCACCTCTGATATTTTAAAGGTCCCTGTTTGCTTTGCTCCTATTTTGTATTGTTTTATGGACTTTTTATCTTGAATACTGTTCATTGTCTCCATATGTTTAATTGTTCTTGTGCGGGGAGCAAGGATCCTTAAGCCACATTTGTTCGAATACCGCTCCGGTTTATGTCGAGATCGGTCCTTCGATTGGGTGCTGAGCACAAACGATCATCACTCTTTATCGTAAAAGGGAGTTTTTACAAGCCATCAATCAATTCGCAGCTTAACATGTCATCAAACAAAATTATTGAGGTGCTAGCATTAAATGGCTATCTTTCCTATAGTATACTATATGGGGTTGAGCGCCCATATTGTATCATCGATAATCGTTTCCCACTTTCATCACTTTTACTGCTTATCCATAGTAACCACGTTTGTACCAGTGCGAACTAGAAAATACTTAGTTCATACATGTAATAACTACAAACGCGATAAACAATCTTATAAACTAATAATTTTTGCATTAAACATTAAAATGTCTGTACCAGAGTTGAATCATATATCCCGCTAGATATGTAAAGTTAGCTACTAGTAACTGGCTACTAGTAGCTGGCTACGAGAAGTATGTAAAGTTGGCTACTAGTAACTGGCTACTAGTAGTTGGCTTCGACAAGCGTGTAAAGTTGGCTACTAGTAACTGGCTACTAGTAAATGACTTGAACCTTATAAAAATAACCATCTAGTGTCCTTTGTGTAAAATCATGCAAACTTGGGATACAAATGTTGATATTCTTGAAATAGCTGGAATTTTACACTGCTGATATCCACTGATAGTGTAAAAACAATATCTTAGAGCTTTTCAACATAATCTGGCACTGAAGTTACCAAGATATCGGTAGTAATGAACTCAGCTACTAGAACCATTTGTCTAGAATTATGCAATTTGGGAGACAAATGTTGATATTTTTAAAGTAGCTGGTTTGTTACCTCGCTGATATCAATTGACATTGCTGATAAAAATAATCTCTAAGATATTCCACATGATCTGGCAGTAAAGTTACCAAGATATCGTTAGTAATGAATTCAGCTACTTGTACCTTTTGTGTAAAATTATGCTTTTTTTTTGGAGACAAATGTTGATAATTTTGAAGTAGCTGGTTTATTACCTCGCTGATATCCACTAATTTTGTTGATAAAAATAATCTCTAAGATATTCCACATGATCTGGCAGTGAAGTTACCAAGATATCGTTAGTAATGAACTAGCTACTAGTACCTGTTGTTTCAAATTATGCTATTTTTGGAGACAAATGCTGATATTTTTTAAGTTGCTGGTTTGTTACCTCGCTGATATCAACTGATATTGCTGATAAAACTAATTTCTAGGATATTCCACATGATCTGGCAGTAAAGCTACTAAGATATCATTAGTAATGAACTCAGCAACTGGTACCTATTGTTTCAAATTATGCTTTTTTTTGGAGACAAATGTTGATAATTTTGAAGTAGCTGGTTTATTACCTGTCTGATATCAACTGATATTGTTGATAAAAATAATCCCTAAGATATTCCACATGATCTGGCAGTAAAGTTACCAAGATATCATTAGTAATGAACTCAGCTACTGGTACCTATTGTTTCAAATTATGCTTTTTTTTGGAGACAAATGTTGATAATTTTGAAGTAGCTGGTTTATTACCTGTCTGATATCAACTGATATTGTTGATAAAAATAATCCCTAAGATATTCCACATGATCTGGCAGTAAAGTTACCAAGATATCATTAGTAATGAACTCAGCTACTGGTACCTATTGTTTCAAATTATGCTTTTTTTTGGAGACAAATGTTGATAATTTTGAAGTAGCTGGTTTATTACCTGGCTGATATCAACTGATATTGCTATAAAAATAATCTTTAAGGTATTCCACATGATCTGGCAGTAAGGTTACCAAGATATCGTTAGTAATGAACTAGCTACTTGTACCTTTTGTTTCAAATTATGCTATTTTTTGAAGATAAATGTTGATAATTTTGAAGTAGCTGGTTTGTTACCTCGCTGATATAAACTGATATTGCTGATAAAAATAATCTCTAAGATATTTTACATGATTTAGCAGTAAAGTTTCCAAGATATTGTTAGTAATGAACTCAGCTACTGGTACCTTTTGTTTCAAATTATGCTATTTTTGGAGACAAATGTTGATATTTTTGAAGTAGCTGGTTTGTTACCTCGCTGATATCATCTGATTTTGCTGATAAAAATAATCTCTAAGATATTCCACATGATCTTGCAGTAAAGTTACCAAGATATCGTTAGTAATGAACTCAGCTACTGGTACCTTTTGTTTCAAATTATGCTATTTTTGGAGACAAATGTTGATACTCTTGAAGTAGCTGGATTTTTACACCGCTGATATCCACTAATTTTGTTGATAAAAATATTCTCTAAGATATTCCACATGATCTGGCAGTGAAGTTACCAAGATATCGTTAGTAATGAACCCAGCTACTGATACCTTTTGTTTCCCATTATGCTATTTTTGGAGACAAATGTTGATATTTTTGAAGTAGCTGGTTTGTTACCTCGCTGATATCAGCTGATATTGCTGATTAACATAATCTCTAAGATATTCCACATGATCTGGCAGTAAAGTTACCAAGATATCGTTAGTAATGAATTCAGCTACTGGTACCTTTTGTTTCATATTATGCTATTTTTGGAGACAAATGTTGATACTCTTGAAGTAGCTGGATTTTTACACCGTTGATATCCACTAATTTTGTTGATAAAAACGATCTCTGTTCTTTTTCAATATGATTTAGTGCTGATGTTACTAAGATATCGTTAGCAATAAACTCAGCTACTAGCACCTTTTGTTTAAAATTATTCAATTTCTGGATACAAATACATGTACAGGTCTGATTTCGATATATCTTGGCACACAAGTAGACTACACTAAGATACATAATTCTGTGTGTCGGTTTTTGATTTCGATGAACGGTGTTGCTGTTGTTACTAAAAATAGAAATTTCTGTGAAATTCTTTCAAAATGCTACTCCTCCTACAGTTTTGGTCTGATTTCAATATAACTTGGCATACAAGTAGACTACACTAAGATACATGATTCTGTGTATCGGTTTTTGATTTCAATGAACGGTGTTGCCGTTGTTACTAAAAATAGAAATTTCTGTGAAATTCTTTCAAAATGCTACTCCTCCTACAGTTTTGGTCTGATTTCAATATAACTTGGCACACAAGTAGACTACACTAAGATACATGATTCTGTGTATCGGTTTTTGATTTCAATGAACGGTGTTGCTGTGGTTACTAAAAATAGAAATTTCTGTGAAATTCTTTCAAAATGCTACTCCTCCTACAGTTTTGGTCTGATTTCAATATAACTTGGCACACAAGTAGACTACACTAAGATACATGATTCTGTGTATTGGTTTTTGATTTCAATGAACGGTGTTGCCGTTGTTACTAAAAATAGAAATTTCTGTGAAATTCTTTCAAAATGCTACTCCTCCTACAGTTTTGGTCTGATTTCAATATAACTTGGCATACAAGTAGACTACACTACGATACACAATTCTGTGTATCGGTTTTTGATTTCAATGAACGGTGTTGCCGTGGTTACTAAAAATAGAAATTTCTGTGATATTCTTTCAAAATGCTACTCCTCCTACAGTTTTGGTCCGATTTCAATATAACTTGGCACACAAGTAGACTACACTAAGATACATGATTCTGTGTATTGGTTTTTGATTTCAATGAACGGTGTTGCTGTGGTTACTAAAAATAGAAATTTCTGTGAAATTCTTTCAAAATGCTACTCCTCCTACAGTTTTGGTCTGATTTTGATATATCTTGGCACACAAGTAGACTACACTAAGATACATGATTCTGTGTATCGGCTTTTGATTTCGATGAACGGTGTTGCTGTTGTTACTAAAAATAGAAATTTCTGTGAAATTCTTTCAAAATGCTA